ACTGACTAATAAGCAATAAGGAACAATAAAGAAACACGCGGGAAAGAGGATGGGGTGCCTGAGCACCGAAGAACTGGGGGAAAGGAATCCTTCCCGGGACTTGTAAATAAACAAAGCCATCTGGCCGAAGAGCCTTGGTGAAAGGGGTACATGCCCAGCAACCATGGAGCGGGGAAAGCTTGTGAAGTGTGGTGGGAGGCAAACTCACAGGAAGCAGGGGGGAAAGACCGCACCTCCCATGACTGTAAAATAAACATGCAGGCCTGACATACAAGGGTGGCAGTGTCACCTTTCCCAGTTGTGCTTGGAAAGGGGAAAGCTTGTAGCACAGGCTCCCCACAACAGGAAATCTGAAGTAAACAAAGCCTGTGGGGCCAGGTGAGTGCTAAGCTCACCCCAGAGATCTGCATAAATAACGCCGCTAGCAACAGCAGGCTGACAGCAGCGGGCAGGCAAGCCATAGCCGCAGATACCATTTTCAGAACTGTATCCAGACTCTTTTTTTTCTTTTTCTCCCTACCTTTGATGAGAGAACAACCGAATTACACCTGCATTCTGAAAAACTTACTGAAACTGTATTGCATTTGAACTTGGGACACTTGGTGGGGTGTGTGTGTGTGTAGTTTTGTTTTACTTTATGCGTCCCCTATGATTAGACAACTACTGTGTGTGTGTGTGTGTGTTGTGTGTGTGTGTAGTTTTGTTCTACTTTATGCGTCTCCTTTGATGAGACAACTACAGAACAACACCTGATGCAGCATCTCCAGGACTGGAGACTGAGACAGACACCCAAATTATTAAGACTGAAACTTCACTGCATTTGAACTTGGAGGTTTTTTGATATTTTTTTTTAATTTTCTACTTTTCATTTTATTTTAATTCATTTTTATATATAGATATTTCTTTCATTTACTTATTTTTTTATTTATATTCTTTACTTTTTTTTTTTATTTTTGATTTTTCATCTCTCTCTAATGTCTGTTCAGCTTTACTGGTCGATTAGTACATAACACTCCCTGGTTTATACCTTTGAAACTTTCTTGTCTGATACCTTGTTCTGTTTTCTCTTCTTGTCTGTGTTTTTGTTTTTTCCTTTTCTTTAAAACTTCTTTGCTTTCCAAATCTCGCTCACTCTTCCATTCTAATATTTACAATTGTTTATTATTACAAGCTAGAAAATACTTATTGCACAACAGTAAGTGAAGTAAACAACACCAAAGAACAATGATGCATCAATAGATAGGTCATCCAAACAAAAATCAATAAAGAAATCCAAGAATCTAAAATATACAATAGATCAAATGGACCTAGTTGATGTCTACAGAACATTTCATCCAACTTCTACACAATATACATTCTTCTCAGCAGCCCATGGAACCTTCTCCAAAATAGATCATATCTAGGGCACAAGCAAGCTCTCAGCAAATAGAAATAGAAATATAACGTGCATACTATCTGATCACAATGCAGTAAAAGTAGAACTCAACAACAAAAGTAAAGACAAAAACATGCAAACAGCTGGAAACTAAATAACTCA